CTTTCTAAGCTTCTAGCTTCAACCTTCCAATCAGGAAGGGATTATCACCATTGCAAAACTTGGGTCTCTCTTATGAAGGAGACATGAATTTCAGAATGACGTTTTCTATCTCTCGTAACAAACTTTAGAGATTACTAATGTGGCCATTGAAAAGTGATTAGCACTCAACCTTCCGGTTTTTTCCAAAAGCGACTGCAGAAAACATCTTTTTTTTTAAAGGTTTTATTGAGTTTTATAGGGTTAGGGATAAAACAGGGTCGGGATAGGAATTGAGGTTTAGGTTTTGGATCAGGATTGGGATTATCCCCCAGTAACATTTTCAATATTTAGCAAACAGACTATTGTCCGGGTACGTATGTTCAGCTAACAATAGTCGATATAGTAATGGACAACTGTAGTAAGTATGATAAACAGTAATCATAAACAGCATTAATTAACCAATGCATATCATTCTTCTTACTGGCATGTATTCAAAATAACATATCACGTTCATTTTCCTAACCATTGATAAAAGTTATCCCATGTTCTAAAATAAACTGAATCTTTTTTCTCTTTCATCTCTAAAGTCAATCTATCCATTTCTGCACATTCTAAGATTTTCTTAATTAAAACCTCTTCAGTTGGTAAGTTTGTATTTTTCCGGTATTGGGCAAATACTATTCTCGCTGCTGTCAATACACGCAATATTAAATATTCATTCTCCTGCTCATGATTAGGTCCTAATATTCCTAGCAAAAACAATTCTGGTTTGAATTCTATCTGTTTTTTAATCATCTTTTCAACCATGTATGTATCTTACATGGGCACGTCCACCAGACAGAGAAAGTGCTTTATTGATGCAATTGTGTTGCATGTTTCTTTCTTCAAATTTCTCTGTTTTTTTTTTTTTTTAAGCATGGGCTAACTTTAAAGTTTCATCATGTCGGTGCTTCCACACTCTTATTAATTAATGCTGTATTCGCTCTAAGGCAGTGGTTCTCAACCTGTGGGTCGGGACCCCATTTGGGGTCGAACAACTATTTCACGGGGGTCGCCAAACAACGCAGTCCGCCATTTCCCCCCCCCCTTTTCCTTAGCTGTGCTACTCCCTTTTATTCTATTGGCTTTTGAAAGCCAATAGAATAGACTCTCTTGAATAGAGTCTAATTCGATTGGCTTTCAAAAGCCAATAGGAATGGTCCAGGCTGTCTCTGCCCTGCTGAGCCCGCCAAAAGTTCCATTCTGCAAACGGTGCTGCACCCGTTGAGTAGTCCTCGACTTACGACCGGTTGAGTAGTCCTCGACTTACGACCGGTTGGGGGTCGCGGCATTAAAAAGGTTGAGAACCACTGCTCTAAGGAAATATCCAGGAGACAATGGAGGGCAGGAGGGCCTGGCCTGCTACGAAGTCATGAAGAGTTGGATACAACTTGGACAACAAGAAATATCAATTTTGACGTGATGCTCTGCTTTGCCACAATGACAAAAAACCAGCGTTCCTTGAGCTGGAGTTGATGGCTCCCTTACCGTTCACAGGGAGCGCACCAGCCATAAACCGTGGTTTACAAAAATCTCAGCGGCTTGTCAGCAGATTCAAACCCAAACAAAGGATATTATGACTTAGCGTGAATGCTTAATGCAGTAATTGCAGGAGGGTTAATGTGTGTGCATTTCCCAGCTCAGTCACTCTACAATTAGCAGGAGATCAACCGGAATGCAGAAATTACATGCCTCTTTCTTTCTAATGAATACTGATTCAAAGATTGTGGTTGCATGAGCTAAGCTTTCTTCCCGTTTTCCTACGGCAGGCCGGGCACGGAAACCAAACAGGATTAATTTTGCACTGTTAGGGTGCCACCCAAACCTGCCAGATCACCGATAGAGCTGCAAAAAAATCCTTCCGAGTTCCAGAAGGGTTTTTGCCTTGTTATAATAATAATAATAATCTTTATTGATTAGCCCGTGGGCCATATCAACATGCAGCGTTCCAAACACACGTTCCACTAAAACGCAGTAAAAACAATTTAGAATATAACTAGCTAAGATATAAAATAGTAATAAAATACAATTGAAAACGAAATTGGGATAAGGCACATCTTTGAAAGGAAATTAGAATCAAAGGCGGCAGTTGAAGATGTCGATAGATAAAATATGACAAAATTATATTTCACTAACAGCCCACCAATGTATCCTAATCAGTCTCACATATGCCGATTTCAGCTGAACCATTTTGCTGTGTTAAATGTAATTTTCAAATTCTGGCCGCACGTAAGGTAAGTTATTTTGATATGGGGGGGTCCCCAATGGGTCGTTTGTTTAATGCAGGGATAGGCCACCTTGGCTCTTTTATGACTCGTGGACTTCAACTCCCAGAATTCCTGAGCCAGCCATGCTGAGGGGAAAGGTAGAGGTTTCCAAGCTGAGCCGTGCTGGCTCAGGAATTCTGGGAGTTGAAGTCCACCATTCATAAAGCAGCCTAGGCCTAGGCCAGAGTAGGCAACCTTGGCTCTTTTATGACTGGTGGACTTCAACTCCCAGAATTCCTGAGTCAGCCATGCTGAGAGGAAAGGGAGAGGTTTCCAAGCTGAGCCATGCTGGCTCAGGAATTCTGGGAGTTGAAGTCCACGAGTCAAAAAAGAGCCAAGGTTGCCTACCCCTGGTTTAGTGTATAGGCCAAGGTTCCTCTCTCTCACCCTCTTATGCAGGCAGCAGATGCAGGGACGTCCATTATACTTATAGGGTATAGAGTGGAAACTCCCATATTTAACCATTGTGTCCAGCTGTTCAAATCTCGCTCGCGTGAATATTTCCCTAAGATGTTTGGGCAGTTGCAACTTCAAATAGCTGTCTGCTTGAAAAGTGCCTTTGTATTGCTCAGCCATTTCAAGTTACCCACCTTATTAAAGATGGCCCTGTTGGTTTTGTGCTTCAGTATCCTTAATTCTTTGGGCAGGTTTTTTTTTAGATCGTTCCCCTGTTACGCAAGAGACACAGGGAGGCCACAGCTTCTGACCAAATCTGTCAATTTAGTGAACCAGGAAGTTTGTGATTGAACCAGGAAGTTTGTGATTGACTTTCTTTTGTGGACAATTGATTGCCCAGCCACCACGTTGTTTCTTAAGCACTTGTTTGTAAAATGAAAAAAACAATAAAACTTGTTTTGTTTTGTTTTTAAAAAGGGAGACAGAAGTCAGTGTTATCACCCCATAAATAGCACAAAATAGGAGATGATGTTCGGTATGATGGTATTACCCATCATTATGCACCTGAAGACAGTAACAATGCATGAACATCTTCTAAGTCAGTGGTTTTCAACCGTAGTTCGCAGACCCCTGGGGTAGGGGCCATGATGTCATCACGGAGGGTACCCCAAGGCTGGAAGACACATTTAGGATTTAAATCTTAGTTGAGTCTTTGGGGGTCTGTGGCCACAAAAGGTATTTAAAGGGGGTCTGCAGTGAAGAGAAAGTTGGGTGATAGTCATTTTGTAATGGAAGAGGAATAGGAAAAAAGAAGAAATGATATTAATAAATGTTTATTGAATATGTTAAGGGAAAAGGCTATGGGGAGACTCCCGAACTTTGACTAGGTATTTAGATTAGAAATATGGAATATAGCAAGCGAAATAGTCAAACTTAACACAGGATCTAGATTTGTGGATTTGTTTAGATCAGTGGTTCTCAACCTGTGGGTCGGGACCCCATTTGGGGTCGAACAACCATTTCATGTGGGTCGCCAAACAACGCAGTCCGCCATTTCCCCCCCCCTTTTCCTTAGCTGTGCTACTCCCTTTTATTCTATTGGCTTTTGAAAGCCAACAGAATAGACTCTCTTGAATAGAGTCTAATTCTATTGCCTTTCAAAAGCCAATAGGAATTGTCCAGGCTGTCTCTGCCCTGCTGAGCCCGCCAAAAGTCCCAGTCTGCAAACGGTGCTGCACCAGCTGAGTAGTCCTCGACTTACGACCGGTTGAGTAGTCCTCGACTTACGACCGGTTGGGGGTCGCGGCATTAAAAAGGTTGAGAACCACTGGTTTAGATGAAAGATTATTGAGGATTGTTATGATGGACTTAGTTGTATTGAAATAGATCCATTCGAATATAATATGTCATTAGAGGGAAAAGAGAGGAGGTTTTTAATGACTTAATCTGAACTTTATGAGTATGACTTTGTTTTGTGGACAATTGATTGCCCAGCCACCACGTTGTTTCTTAAGCACTTGTTTGTAAAATGAAAAAACCAATAAAACTTGTTTTGTTTTGTTTTTTTTTTTTTTAAAAAGAGGAAGTTGGGAACCAGCGTCCTAAACTTATTTGGAAACTCTTGGGCCCAGCCTGCAGGATTGCAGTCCCAATAATGGGAATAAGAATAAGAATTACTGGCTTTGGGCAAAGCGCAAAACCAAACCAAACCAAACCCAAAACGCTACCACGAATCCATCCAACAACACACACACACACACACACACACAGACAAAGTGTCCGTCTTCAAAGTTTCCGAAATCTTTTCGGAAGTCTCAAAAGGCTACATTTTTGTTGCGGCAGCCAAACAAACACAAACACACACTCCAAAGAGATACTTCTGTTGCTTATCGTTGCCCAAACTTCCTCCGGAGCGCAAAACCTTCCGCCCTTTACGCACCGAGGTTCAGGGGCGCAGCGGGGAGGGGGCGCCTCGCCAGGAGCGGGGGCTCGCCTCGGAGACCCTCCCCCTCCTCCCCCCCCGGCAGGACACCCCCCCCAAGAGCTCCGGGGCTGCTCCTCCCGGACAGGAGGGCCACCCCCCCACCGAGGAGAGCCCCGCGAGACCCCGGCCAGTTTTGGAGAGGGTGGAAAGCACCGTGCCGCAGCCACGGATCGGCTGGAGAGTGGGAAGGAAGGAAGGGGGGGGGGGACGCGCGCGCCCGGCACCAACGGCGCGGGAGCGCGCGCGCACGGCTCCTCCTCCTCCTCCTCCTCCCCCCCCAGCCTGGCGCGGGCGCGCTCGTCCCCGTGGAAAGCTGCAGCGGCGGCCTGCGTGGCAGCTGGGGGGGGGGCCGCCCGGAGAGGCGTCGGGGGCGCGCGTGGCGCGGCCTGCCACCCCGAGGCTCCCTCCCTCCCCCCCCCTCGGCGGGTGCGGGGGCGGGAGCGCGCGGCCGGCGCGACGGACGGAGCAGCAGCAGCAGCAGGAGGAGGAGGAGGCAGCCAGCGCGGGGACGCGCGCGGCAGTGGGGCCAACTCGCGCCCGACTCCCGCTGGAGCGACCCGGCCGGAGCCACAGCCGCCGGAGCGGACGCGCGGGGCCGGGGGCCAGCCGCCCCACCGGCGAAAGAGGCCCGAGGGCGCCCGCTTGGCAGGTAAGCCCGGGACGGGAGACGCGGGGGGGGGGCGCCCGGGTCCGAGGGGGGGGGAAGCACCCGGAGGCGGGCGGGGGCCGGCCACGCCCCCTCCCCGCCATCCACCCCCCCCGGGGGGGAAAGAACACCCCACTTTCCCTTCTTCCAACTCTTGCCCCCCCCCTCCCCAAAGACCCCCGTTGGCGGAGCTCCCGGAGCGAACGTTAACTGCCCCCGCGGGGCTCCGCGCGGCCCTCGGCGCGGGTGGGCGAGCCGCGGGACACCGGCCGGGCTGTTTCCTACCCCCCCCCCCACGAAGCAGCCTCCCCCTCCCCAAATCACGCCTCTCCTGCTTCTGCCCTCTCCACGAAACGCGCGTGGCTCGCTCTCTCTCTCTCTCTCCAGCCTTTGGTTGCCCCGTGGGATTTGCTGCTTTGGTTTGACGGGGGGGGGTCGGCTGGCTGCACCCCCTCCTTCCCCCCCCTAAATCGCTCGGGGGTCCTGGAGAAGGGAGAATGGCCCTGGGGGGGTTTCGTGGGTTTTTTTTTTTTTTTTTTTTTTTTTGGCAAGGCTGCCGTTGGTCCTGCCTGCCCCCCGCTTCCTGAGCCAGGTTCCCCCCCCCCAGCCAGGCCCGATTCAGGTCTCGGCCGAGGAAAGGAGCCCCCCCCCCGACTCAAAATATTTCACCAATTTGCACCTTGGAGTGGAGGATAGGAAGAACAGCGCAGCAGCTGGCTGGCTTGGGGGACCCTGGTTTAGCATAGCCCCCCCCCGCAGCCCATATGGGATATTTTGATGGTGGAGGGGGGTCATCCCTGCCCCCCCTGCAGCCCAGTTCCTCCTGTTCCTCTCCCAGCTTCTCATAGGTAGAGGCGGGGGGGGGTCAGCAAGCAGGAAGGGTGCTCAGGTGAGTGGGCTGCCTCCTCCAAAGCAGGTGGCCTGCTCTCCAGAGCTGAGCCAGGTGAGCCCCCCCTGCTGCATTTGGTTATGGCAATGTTATAATGCTACAGGACCTGCATGTTTTGTGAGCCCCCCCACCCCCGGCCTCACCTGCAGGGCTTTTTTTTTCTCTCTTCTTGTTGGGACAGGTTTCTCTTCATTCCTGTCATCCAAGGTTGGGGTAGGATACCTTTCCTGGGTCTGGATTTATGTACATATGACAGAGCTGTGTTTACACACCTATTTTTTCTGGAGGAGCTTCATGGCGGAAGAAAATCTTCTGATTAGATTGCTATAAACATTGTGTGTCACTCTGTCTGTCTCTGTAATCTCTTATCTCTAGATCTCTGTCTGTTTTCTCTCTATCTAATCTCTCTCTCTCCTTCTGTCTCTCTGTAATCTCGTGTATCTATGTCTTCTATCTAATCTCTCTGTGTGTCTGTATCTATCTATCTATCTATCTATCTATCTATCTATCTATCTATCTATCTATCTATCTATCTATCTATCTATCTCTAATCTCTCTCTATCTAATCTCTTATCTCCAGATCTCTGTCTGTCTTCTCTCTATCTAATCTCTCTCTCTCCTTCTGTCTCTCTGTAATCTCTTGTATCTGTGTCTTCTATCTAATCTCTGTGTGTCTCTATCTATCTATCTATCTATCTATCTATCTATCTATCTATCTATCTATCTATCTCTAATCTCTCTCTATCTAATCTCTTATCTCCAGATCTCTGTCTGTCTTCTCTCTATCTAATCTCTCTCTCTCCTTCTGTCTCTCTGTAATCTCTTGTATCTGTGTCTTCTATCTAATCTCTCTGTGTGTCTCTATCTATCTATCTATCTATCTATCTATCTATCTATCTATCTATCTATCTATCTCTAATCTCTCTCTATCTAATCTCTTATCTCCAGATCTCTGTCTGTCTTCTCTATCTAATCTTTTCTATCTGTGTCTTCTATCTAATCTCTCTCTGTCTATCTATCTATCTATCTATCTATCTATCTATCTATCTATCTATCTCTGTCTATATCTGTCTTCTATCTAATCTCTCTAATCTCTTGTATCTGTGTCTTCTATCTAATCTCTGTGTCTATCTAATCTATCATCGTTCTAATATCTTATATCTTTCTGTCTTTGATCTAATTATATATCTATCTATCTTATCTATCTATTTATGTCTGTCTATATCTGTCTTCTATCTAATCTCTCTGTGTCTATCTAATCTATCTATCATCGTTCTAATAATTTATATCTTTCTCTCTTATCTATGTATCTAATCTATCATCCATCGAATCTCTTGCATCTATCTGTCTGTCTTCTGTCTCTCTAATCTCTATCTTATCTCCCTCCCTCTGTTTGTGTGTGTCTCTCTCTGTCTTATCTATCATGTCCTGACTGTCCACACAGGCCTTTGCTGACTAGCACTATTTCTCTGGAACTTGCTGAAACCTCATACTTCCTAACAATAAACTTCAGCTTAATGTGAGGTTTTAGGAATGTGGTTACTCTTAACCACCCTTCTGGAATTTTTATGCCAACCTCCCTGTGTGGATTGCGCCAGCAGTATGATCATTTTAAACCAGAAATGATAGGTGGAAGTAAGCAAATGGGCCTCCATAGAGGAGTAGGCAATTCACTCTGGAGTTTACATAAAATCATTTAAATGCAATAAGAGCCACCTCTGTGCACCAGGAGTTCTTTCCCAGTGAGGGAGGTTAAAATAGGCTTGCAGGAACCCATCTTCATAATAATTATTTTCACTTCGGATAACAGCAGGAATACTGTATTTATTCTCCTTCTGTATGCTCTTTAAATAGATAAATATCTATTGCACGTACCTTTATGGTTTATCTCCACATAGTATAAACCTTACTCAGGGTGATTCCTTTTTAATCCTAGGCTAAAATGGAAATGACATGTTATCATTTAAGAGATAATTTTGCAAATCTGAAGATAGCTGGCTGTAGTGGTGGGCCATTGGATACTGTACCGCCATCTCCAGCAAGTTTATTTATTTATGTTCTTCTGTAGAATAGAATAGAATTATAGAATTGGAATAGAATTATAGAATTAGAATAGAGTTATAGAATGAATAGAATAGAATAGAATTATAGGATTATAGAAAGAATAGAATAGAATTATAGAATAGGATAGAATAGAATAGAATTGTAGAAACAATAGAATAGAATAAAACAATAGAATAGAATACAACAATGGAATAGAATTATAGAATTAGAATAGAATTATAGAAAGAATAGAATAGAATAGAATAGAATAGAATAGAATAGAATAGAATAGAATAGAATAGAGCTGGAAGGGACCTTGGAGGTCTTCTAGTCCAACCCCCTGCTCAGGCAGGAAACCCTATCCCATTTCAGACAAATGACTGTCCAATCTCTTCTTAAAAACCTCCAGTGATGAAGCACCCACAACTTCTGGTTGCAAGCTGTTCCACTGGTTAATTGTTCTCCCTGTCAGGAAATTTCTCCTTATTTCTAGTTTGTTTCTCTCCTTGATGAGTTTCCATCCGTTGCTTCTTGTCCTGCCTTCAGGTGCTTTGGAGAATAGCTTGACCCCCTCTTCTTTGGGGCAGCCCCTCAAATGTTGGAAGACTGTTTATCATGTCCTTCTTTCCATTAAATCAGACATACCCAATTCCAGCAACCCTTCTTCGTATGTTTTAGCGTCCAGTTTCTAGGAATTAAATGCTGACAGAGTCAGACCTCAGAGCTTTGCTTCCAAAAATTTCTCATTCTGGAAAAGGCCCTGAATCCTCTTAAGCATCTTTGCTGTGTCCTAGGCAGGTCGAATTCTGCTCTGCAAAAATAGACAAGAAATCTTAAGAACCGAGAAAGGCATTGATGGATGTTGTAAAGGGGTGCTTTCCAAGTAAACTTCCCCAAACTGAGTAGAAGTATTTTTTCCTCTCCCCGCCCCCTCCTTTGGGTAACCACACGGGCATCCATAACCCAATCGCAACAGGAAGTTTCTGATAAGTGATTTTGACAAACGAAGCGAAACATTTAGGGAAATACAGGCAGCGTGTCTCAATTTCGCCATTTCTCTTGCGAAGCGGGACGTTGGTTTTGCCCCGTTTTACGACCTTGTTGTTAAGTGAATCACCACGGTTGATAAGTTAAGGAACGCGGCTGCTAAGTGGATCTGGCTTCCCCCGCTGAGGTGGCAAAACGGCGATCACGTGACTGTGGGACACAGCGGCCATCATAAATACGAGCCAGTTGGCCCAGCGTCTGAATTTCAATCACGTGACCACGGGGAAGGCCGCAATGGTCGTAAGTGTGAAAAAGGGTCCTAAGTCGTTTTTTTCCCAGCGGCGTTGCAACTTGGAACGGTCACTAAATGAACTTCTGCAAGTGGTGCAGATAGGTCTTCACTTACATCCATTGGTTTAGTGCAGGGGTAGGCAACCTTGGCTCTTTTATGACTCGTGGACTTCAACTCCCAGAATTCCTCAGCCAGCGTGGGGGAACTATGGCCCCCTCATGATTCGTGGACTTCAACTCCCAGAATTCCTGAGCCAGCACGGGGGAACTATGGCCCCTTCATGACTTGTGGACTTCAACTCCCAGAATTCCTGAGCCAGCATGGGGGAACTATGGCCTCTTCATGACTGGTGGACTTCAACTCCCAGAATTCCTGAGCCAGCATGGGGGAACTATGGCCCCCTCATGATTCATGGACTTCAACTCCCAGAATTCCTGAGCCAGCATTGGGGAACTATGGCCCCTTTGTGACTTGTGGACTTCAACTCCCAGAATTCCTCAGCCAGGCATGCTGGCTGAGAAATTCTGGGAGTTGAAGTCCACAAGTCATGAAGGGGGCCAAGTTTGAAGACCCCTGCTGTAAATAGTTACGGTATTCAGCCTGGACTTTCCGATCAACGTGTTCATTATTAAACTTTTGAGAGAGATTAGCTGAAAACAGAATGAGGCAAGAAAAAAAGGCCAGCTAACTCGGAGGTGACTTCGGCCAGATCCACTTTAAAAAAATAAAGTATGTGTATGTGTATATATATAGGTTTTTGGTTATTCGGGTTTTCTCCCGCGTAAAATTGGA